GGGGGGGGGGGGGGCGGACACTGGTAAAAGTATATATTTTCTATATAAATTATATAAATTTCATTTCGTTCGGGGGGGGGGGGGGCGGTAAAAAATTTTCGGGGGGGGGGGGGGGGGGTGGGGCCCCCCCCCCCCCCCCGAAGAGATGCCTGGAAGAAACTCTGATAGACTGTTAATCACAAATTAATTAATTAATAGACGTTAATTAATTTATTGATTTATTAATTCGAGGATTAATCACATTAATTATAAAAGTTCAGAACAATGACTTTACTTATAGTCAGTGGCGTAGCGAGGTCGGGTGTCACCCGGTGCGGCATTTAATGGTGTCACCCCCCCAGAGGCGTAGCGACCCTTCCCGGGGACAAACTTTCAAATTTTCGATTTGCAACCCCCCCCCCCCTTTCAAGTTTTTCTCTATATATTTTGCTATTTTTTTGCCTTGTGGTGTCACCCTCCGCACCCCCCCCCCTTTCAAGTTTTTCTCTATATATTTTGCTATTTTTTGCCTTGTGGTGTCACCCTCCGCACCCCCCCCCCCCCCCCATTGCCATGCCTCTGCTTATAGTGTAAAGTGACGTCACCTGATTTATTTACTTTTTAGATCAGTAATAGCGGCTTCCATCGAAAATTTTGTTTCCCATTAAAAAATACAAAGCATTTTATAGCTAATTTTCTGTCGCTATAGCTTTAATGATACGTCAGTTTGCTATTGCTATAACGTTCCAACGCTAATATCAATTTTCAACAGTCCTTTTTATTTAAGTATCTATATATATATAATTCTCTTCTGGGAGCCGTTAGAAAACAAGCTGCAAGCGCATCCTTGCAGTCCCCTCTCTTTCTATCACTATCACTACCACCCCCACCCCACCCTCACATTGTCTGGTGAGTTGTGGTCACGCTGTTTACATTTTACAATCATAGAGACGGGTTTGGTGACGGCTATTAGGGGCAGATAATTTAGTTTGAAACGATTTTTAACTTAGAGGAGGTAACTAAGAGGAGGCTGCTCTCACGTGGGGGGGGGGGGGGAGAAGGGGGGGGGGGGGGGGTTAGTGTTTTTAAGCAAATATTTTCAGTGGCAGCATTGGTACTGTCGAATTCACAAATTATAAATTACTGAAAAGTAGAAAAAAAAACAACTAAATAGCGGCGTATGATACGCAGCGGGTCGGCTCGTACAATAAATTTCTCTAGATCAAGTATCTAAAGATCATCGGTGGAAGGAAATTATTAATAGATCTAGATCTAGAATCTAGATCAAACCAAAATTAATTAGTTAAAAATATAAACCATTTTAAAATCAGAATACATTTTTGAGTCTCTTTATTAAACTATTTTAGTCCTTAAATATTTGATATACATCTTTGCTTTTTAGCTACACGGATCATCTAATAATTCTAATTCAAGAATACAAGTGATTTATCCATCTAGACTAGCTAGAGTCTAGAGTTACGGCAAAATCTCGACTTAAACAAACCAGTCGTAGAATCTAGATAACTCTATCTAGATCTAGATAATGATGAGTTTCTATACTAAACTATTTCAGACCTTCTTTATTTTTTTATTTAAATCTTTGTTTGTTTAGCTATGGAATTGGCTAATTTAAGATAAAATTTAATTTGAAAGATACTAGATCTAGATCTAGAATCTAGGGCCTATTCGCGTAAATCAAGTTTCTTAAAAGCAAGCTCAAACTATTAATATACAAAAAAAAAAAAAAAAAAAAAAAAAAAAAAAAAAAAAAAAAAACAAACAAACACATCATTGGCGTCACGAGTCTAGATAGATAAGTTGTTAGTGTAATAGGTTTCCATGCAGGTGGCACGGGTTCTAGACACATCCATTTTTTTAGAATGATAAAGTTGCCTATCGGGACTTGACGGAATACAGGGCAGGTGAAGTAGAGTTCACCTGTTGTTGTTTTTTTTTTACCTCAGCATATGAAGGGATAGTGTAGTCGGAGACATGCTTTACCGGAATCGTTTGTTTTTTTTAAACGATAAAAACATGTCTGAGACTTGGCGGGACGCTGGGCAGGTGAAGTAGAGTTGAGTAGGTCAACTGTGACGTCAGTATATGAAAGGAATAATGTGGTCAGACCCATGCTCAGCCGAAATCGGTGTTTTTAAAAGATAAAAAAACGTTTTTTTTTTTAAAAATGTGGGGTCTGGTTATTTTGTGATGATAAGTAACAGACGTGATGTCATTTATGGATGACCCCCGAAACCCACAGTTATCTAACTAGATAACGGGTAGTCTAGTAATGCACTAAAACGGAGAAAATAAATTATACACTACTATTTAAATAACTATAAAGAAAAGCGTGGGCCTCTTCCTAAATGTTAGTAAAGGTATCCAATAGATCTGAACATTTATAATTAAACGTGTGTTTCTGAATTACAATATTTCTCTAAACTATATTTTAAAAATTATATGTCTACCTAGTCCTGAACTTTAAACTCAATAATTTTTTCTACATATTGATCTGTGTATTTTAAAATTCTACAAATATTGCTGATTTTCTGATTTCTAGTTAGCAAAAATATATAAACAAAAAAAAAAAGATACAATGTAACAAACTCGTAAACAAAGCAGTTTTAGTAGCATATAGATAATACGTAGCTCAAGCCTAGTCTATAATAATACTTTCACCACTCTGTCACTATGTTGGTACGCTATAGACTATAAAGGAAACACAAGCAAAAAAAAAAAAATAACATCTTTCAAACGGAAAACGAAACGTGACATCACATGGAACATGAAATATTCTAATGCCGGAAAAGTACACACAATAATATGACGTAATTGATTCTAGAGTAAACTTAGACTTAAAAAGTCATTGCCGCCTATAAGTGGTTTGCGTGCAGAGTTTCTTTCAGTCATCTCTTCGGGGAGTGACAAAGGTAGACCTTCCCCCACCCCCAAAAGAATTTATTTAGAAAATAGAAAATACATACTTTTACCAGTGTTGCCTCACTCCCTATCCAGGATAATTCTATTCGCCCCAGCAAAAAATTCAAGTGCCCCTACTCCCACCCCAGAAAAAAAGTCTGAAAGAAACACTGTGGGATCCACCATAATTAACGTCACACTAGTAGGGGGGAGGGGGGGGGGGTCCATAAATATGTGACCTTTAGTCTGTATGATCTACAAAAGCAACATGTGTTTCTTTCAGACTTTTTTTCACCACGACGGGGTGGGGGGGGGCACTTGAAATTTTCGGAGAGGGGGGAGGTGGACTAAATTTTTCGGAGATGGGGTGCGGACACTGGTAAAAGTATATTTTCTCTATAAATTCTATGTAGTTATAGGAGGCGGTAGACTTTCTTGGGAAGGGGGGGTGGGACTCTGAAAAGAGTTGCCTGAAAGAAACTCTAAATGCGTCATTTGTTAAGTTTGAGCTTTATAGGTGCAAGGTTTAGGGGTATGATTACGCCTATTTTTAGTATGAATGCGCAGCAACTACGTGCCGATTATGGATACAAATCCGTATTCAATGGAATTGTTCGTTTCCGGTTAAATTTGAAGCTGAGGTGGTGATTTTGGTTTTGGTTAGAGAAAAAGACAACACTAGCGCACGTTGTATTTCTTCCTCAACGGGCCATTTATCTCGTCTATAATAATAGTTTCGCTATTTTATCGTCTGTCTGTCTTCGGGGAAAAGGCGACCCCCCGTCCTTAGAAAGTCGCAGAGGCGTAGCGACCCTTCCCGGCGCCCGGGTACAAACTTTCAATTTGGCGCCCCCTATCAACTTTCAATTTGCACCCCCTCAAACTTTCGATTTGCATCCCCCCTCAAACTTTCGATTTGCACCCATTTTGGCGCACCCCTAAGGTCGGCGCCCGGGGACATATGTACCCCCCTCGCTACGCCCCTGAAACGTCGATTCCCCCCCCCCCCGAACGAAATCGAATTTGTATACAAAATATATAATTACAAATAGCAAATATATAGGCCTCCTCCAGTGCCCTTGGAATTTTCGGGGGTGGGGGGGGGGGGGGGGGGGCTGGACTAAATTTTTCGGGGGAGGAGGGCAGATACTGGTAAAGGTATATTTTCTATATAGATTCTATTTCGTTATAGGGGACGGTAGACGGTTTTTCCGGGGACTCCGCTCTCCCCCCCCCCCCCCAACACCCGCAGAGTTGCCTAAAAAACTGTGAAATCAGACTTTTGTCAAGTTATTTTGGTTTTGGTTTAGAGATATATAGATCTATATCAACACTATCAACCTAGCACCCGTGCTATTTTTCCATGAAAGGGATAGAACAGGGGTCGGCAACCTGCGGCTCGCGAGCCGCATCCCAGTCAGCACACATATATTGGCCCAATATTGGCTAAACATTGGTTACCAATATTGGCTACATCTTGGTGCAACATTGGCTTAACCTTGGCAAAACATTGGTAGTGAAACTCGGCATGATGTTGGCGCAATGTTGGTACAATATTGGCTATATCCCGGCTACATATTGGCCCAACATTGGCTAGATCTTGGCCAAATATTGGCTATATCCCGGCTACATATTGGCCCAACATTGGCTATATCCCGGCTACATATTGGCCCAATATTGGCTACATCTTGGCTCAATATTGGCTATATCTTGGCCCAATATTGTCTATATCATGGTTACATCTTGGCCCAATATTGGCTACATCTTGGCTCAATAATGGCTATATCTTGGCCCAATATTGGCTATACCTTGGCTCATCCTGTATTATATCCTGGCTACATCTTGGCCCAATAATGGCTATATCTCGGCTATACCTTGGCTCAGCCTGTATTATATCCTGGCTACATCTTGGCTCAAATTTTTATTTTTAGCATACAAAAAGATCCATTCTCATATCAGTCATAATATTTACAAAGGTAATTTCAAAATGTGAAAGAAATTTTAATCAAAATGTAGTAAAGCAGCAATACATACACAAGAACTGCTCATCTATTAAAATCTGTATTATACCATCCATTCAATTGTAAGAAAATTATAACTATACTATAAAGTATTGATTGAAAAAGAATAAGTAAATTATAGTGTAGTAACTTTCATTTTGACTTTTATACAAACAAATTAAAACAAATATACAAAACATTTTCATATAATGTAACAGATGTTAAGCAGGCCTACAGTTTAAATTAAACTAATGTAAAAACTTAATTTACTGTACAAGAATACAGAAGCTGTCTTGTACTATGATACGTAAACATAACATTAAAAATAAAAAGTATAAAATATTTGTCTAACAACATTTAATTGCATAGCTCGTTTAAGTATTCTAATTAAGGTTTACATTTTAATTCTGGACCAGTCTGCCTTGTCCATAAATAACAGAACGAAAATATGTTCAGGATCTCTAGATTATAATTGTGGTTAAATAGTGTTGAAATGAATGCCATTGTGTATACAAAATGTACAATCTTTCAAAAGACAGATGGTTCGAGGGTTTATACGCATTGTGTAGAACAGGAATATCACTGCGATATTTAATAAATGTTTTTTTGTCTCGAGTATGAGGTATTTAATTATAGTAAACTGAATATATATTAATTTACTTCATTAATTAGAAATAAATATCACCAGCAGAAGTATTGTCAATACAAATGTTGCAAGCTTTTTTCAGATTGTACAGTGAAACTAAATAATGAAAGAAATTTGCAACTAATTCTTTAAAGAAAAAAATGTCAATTGTATATTTCATTTAGGGCATTAAATCTACACTAAACATACATACAATGCCAACTTAAATTATTATATTATTACAAAAGGAAACAATTTATTAATTTAAAATCAGCATTGTTCTTAGACTATTTTGGTAAGAGCATCTTTTCTTTTCGTTAAGCACTTAAATGCAATATGTATTAAACTGTTAACCTGATCCATCTGATCAAATTTTTTTTTTAAAATCTGATCTAAAATTATTACGAAAATCACTGTTGTCCTCATTCTTGTGGACCCTTGTGGAGCTGAGAGACACAACCACACCTCTCTATTTTTATACTTGGTTTTAGGAGATTCCCCAAAGTTGTGTCCATAACACTCTGCCTGCTTGTGTTTTGTTGGTTTCTGATATTTTCCATGTTTGTTTTGGATAACAAACTTTCTCTTTCCTTTGGGATTCAAATCCAATAAAAGCCTGGTTGTTGATTTGTGCAAGGTATGTCATAATCCATCCACATTCTAAAAAAGAAAAGTTACACACTAAAAGTCATTTATGAAATAATTACAACCATACACTGCTCATTTTGCACTAAATTTATTATGTTTATTTTATTTTGCACTGCACTGAACATGCAACAAGAAGCCCCTAACATCATGTTTGCTACCTTGTAACGATATATTATATAGGTATAAAGACTGGTGGTCTGGGGTGTTCATGCTACCCAGGTAACACTTATACTGCATATATACTGCATATATATATATATATATATATATATATATATATATATATATATATATATATATATATATATTTATTTATTTATAAACAAAAGTGAAAAAAAAGACCTGGTAATAAAAAAAATAATAGTATGTATATAAATATTATAAACCCTTTACCCTATGTCTCTGAGCTAAGAAGGTGCCAGACAATTTTTGAGCAATTTCATCAACTTTATCAATTCAGTAATTGAACGATTAGACCCTTCAGAGTGACCCAGAAGTAATGCTTGTGGTCTGAAATTATTTTACTAATATCAGTAAAGGCATTAACTACACATGCTGATCAATACATGCAAGCAAAAATTACTAAATGAAAATTATTATTCACTTTGAAACAATGTAAACTTACAGTTGTTAAGTGTTAAGAACATTTAGTCATTTTCTGGTGTAGCCAGTATTTGGTGAAGTATCAAGCAGTGGGGACCTTATAATTTATTAAAGATTGATATATCTCCAGTGGGCTGATTGATATACACAACACCTGGAGGCCTGAAAATAAATGGCATTCTTAGTTATTAAATATAATAATAAAATGAGTGAGTGATACAATAAATGATAGCCAGATTAGATACTAATTTTTAAGTATCTCTGTTTATTTGATCTCTGTATATAAAGGATTGTGTAGTCAACACTATATCTAGCCACCTTTTTTATTTCATATTCTTAAATTGGGTATATATCAGACTTAGGTGAACTGATGAATGTATTACTAACTTGGCTTTATGTTTAGCAATAGTGTCCTCAACCATTTGCCTACTCTGTCCTCTATATGATAATATGAGTAGTGTTGATCATTAAGTATGGCTTACTAATAGTACCATCTTATCGCTGTTGGTCATGAAATTAAGTGTTGCTCTGAGGTCTCCACACTACTATTTACACAACTTACATCTTATTCATCAAAACATGCATTAGACTGGAATCCCCAGGGAAAAAGGAGGGTGGGCCGGCCAAGGAAAACATGGAAGAGAACGGTTGAGGAGGAGGCGAAAACAGCTGGGCTCTCATGGGCACAGATTAGAGGAGCAGCCCAAAACCAAGTCCGCTGGAGATGTGTGGTTGCAGCCCTTTGCTCCCCAGGGGCCACAAAGGAGTGATGATGATGACATCTTATTCTCCCATAGGGACCTGTAACAGTAATAGAAATTTGAATGACAATCTTGAATCAATTTAGAATTCTAGTTGACTATTTTTTTTCAAAATTAATACCTATCAAAATACACTGTTTAACATGTAGAAATTTGTTCTATAATTGTGTCTACTGTTCCTCTCTCTCTCTCTCTGAATTAATTAATAAAGACAGTTTCAAATCCTTACACAAATAGGCCTAGAACAATAAAATTAAGTTTTTAAAAAAGTTAAAGTGAATGATTATTTATTAATTTATAAACATTTAAGCCCCCCCTTTCCCTGTGCGTGATAATTATACCTAAAGTTGAAAACCAATAAATACATCGATCTATCAATAATCAATATAACCCCAAACGTACTTGCATACTTTTCAATACAAAAAAAAAGTGCTGTCAAAATTAACCGCCCTCTGATTACGATTTTTAGTTATTTAGTATTATTAGAATCTAGATCTAGATCTAGATCTATCATAAAGGAGATTATTGTAAAATGTAATTATAGCCTAATGCCAAAATAAACAGAATATATATAGACTCTAGTATTATTAATATTATATAGATCTAGATCTAGACTAGATCTAGATCTAGGCTCATTTTATTACCTCAAATAAACTACCTTTTATAACTTTTATTTGATGACTTAGGCCCATAAAGTTAAAGTTTCCAACAAAAAAATACGAGTTTTCCAGATTCTGCATAAATACAGTTATACTACTTCTCACTGTTGAACTAAAATGGCTACAGTGGGCCTACCTGTTTTACTGTGACTGGATACAAAGTCTTTTGTTAAGAAAAATGGCGCAGGACCGGGATGCTGGCTTGCGAACAATAGGAAGGAATGTGAACAAAGGGACAATGGGCGACAGGGGGCCGGTGGCAGTAGCGCACACAATTTTAAAAAGATTAACAAAATGTTTAACACATGCAACGTAGTCTGTTATTGATGCTATGTTTACATTAGAGCATGATATTAAAAGATAAATTAATTTTAGTTAACATATATTAAGTTTAACAAGCATATTTAACTAAAATTTCTGCAGTGAATCCATAAATCAGTGTAATCTTGGCAGCCAAGGTAAAAACGGTTAAATATCAAGGTATCAAGGGATGCAAGCATGTACAAATCTTGGCTGTACCCTGGCGTAAGCTTGTCCAATGTATAGCCATGATTACAACATTGGGCCAAGGTTGGGCCGACCCTGGTATTACATACTGTGTTAGCTGGGATGCGGCTCTTTTGATGTCCAGTTGCGGCTCTTCAGCTCTATGCACAATTATTAATAACTATTTTATTTTATTTTCAAAACTCATAAAAATATTAGTCTGCAACACTTGGTAATAAACGATATAACAATAGATATAAACAATAAACTTTCACTATTCTATTAGAATATTTAGTTGCTTCCTATCTCAATGTACTTCCTATTACATTGTCCATTCCGAGTTGAAACATTAAACTTCATAGTGGATATCACAAAGAAACTAAACCAGCTATGTGTAAAACTGAAAGGAAAACCTAGCCTATGTCTTGCTTGAAGAAGTGGTTTGTTTCGAAAAAAAAAATCACTTCAGCATTAATATAAACAAATGAGATTATTTCATATATGCAAAGCTATTTATTTTAAATTATATATATATATATATATATATATATATATATATATAGTATGATATTTGTTTAGGATTATATATATATATATATATATATATATATATATATATATATATATATACATATATATATATATATATATATATATATATATATATATATATATATATATATATATATATATATATATATATATATATATATATATATATAATCTTAAACAAATATTCTACTGACATAAAAATGTTAGTGGCTCTTTAAAAAATGGGTAATTTTGTAAAGTGTAACTTTTGGCTCTTTCGTCTCAAAAGGTTGCCGACCCCTGGGATAGAACTATAGGCCTATATTACGTGTAACACAGTAAACGAGGTGTTAGTTTTCTTCATCGAGCTTGTATTTTAACTTTCGTTTGACAACATTTCTGAAACTGTATCTGGCAAACAAATTAAAATGGAGCTTCAGGAAGAATTCTACAATAGTCCACAGTATATTGAAACGGTTTGTAGATCCTACTAGACCTAGATATAGATCTAGATCTATGTAGTCTATGATCATGACTGATCTAGAATCTAGACTAGATTCTGGATCTAGATTTTAGATCTATATCTAGATACAAATGGAGGTAATCTATCGTTTTAGGTACGTAAAGTAAATTCAAATTGGGCCGAGACTAGACGAAAAAAAAAAGGTGACTCATTCGAGTCATTAGTAGGTTTAATTATGGATTTTTAAAAATAAAATATTCTGTTATTTCAAATACACCATTAATATTAAGTTCCTTACCCCTTAAGAGAACATTACATTTGACACCACATTGACATTTAAATATGGCAGGAAACAGATTCAACTCTCAAACATCTACTTTTAGGGTCTGTAATGAAATTGAAATCCACAGCTAATATGTAACGTAAGTATCTTTTGATTTAAAAAAAAATACGCGTAGTTCTAAGAAAAAAAATTTCTACGGTGTACTCGATCCCTATCCCAAAACGTGCCAGCCATATCGCATGTATTCAGCTACTCAGCTGCTTATCGAATTTTCGAATTTTAAATTTATATAATAAAAGTAGGTCACCCTAAAAAAAAAGAGTACAATGGCTCCCGTTTTCACGACAGCCGTCACTCGATTCATAATTTACAGAGTTATAAAGTTCTACTTTCTTTTGGCTATAGATTTGAAGAAATTTAAATTTGTTATTTCTCATGTGTTCCAACAATTGTACCTAATTTTAATAAACATTACATTAGTGAGGACTCGGTTCTTTTTAGGATTAGCCCTCGACACTATACAGACTATTGCGAAGAAACAGACTCGCGCGAATGTCGTGCGTAGGCTGGTTCAGTGGCGAAGGTTAGAAGCCAATTTCAGACGGAAAGTTTTTACTTTGAAGTAATTACATTATCAATTAATTTCGATTTAAAACAAATGGCTTAAAGTCAAAAGTAAACTAACATTTAAAAACTTTATTATTCGCAGTGTACTCAAGATTCTCGTGTTTTAAAGATAAGTCTAGTTTTACTACGTGTGCGTGCATGGTGCGAATACCGATTTTCCGCGACAGAAAATCATTAAAAATTTAAAAAAAAGTATCTACGGCAAAATAATAATTATATTTTACAGAATTAAATAGATTTAACTTAACTGTTATTTAAATACATGCTTCGGAGTAAAAAAATACAATTTTATATCCGTAAAAAATTAACTGAAATTCCCGCTTTCAGCGACGCCGATGTGTCGTAATTTTCGGCAGTCATTTTGTTCAAATTAAAGTAAAAAACGCATTCAAATATACTTTTTTTTACTTTCATAATTTACAGCAATCATTTCTAATGAAAAATCCATAAAAAAATAATAGTTATTTTTACAAAATATTATTTCTTACCTTATTAGTGCAGTACACGTACTTTCCAAGTAGATCCATTCCGTCTAGATTTGCATCCTTCGCAGCGGCACAAAATGTCATAAAAAACGAATTCCACAAAAATGTTGCTAACGAAGCTTGTAAAAACCTTGCTCTATTTATCAGTATAAACAAAATCCCCGAACAATGTCTGGTTAGAAAGTTTATGAACGGCGAAGACCGAATATGCATTTTGCGGTACCAATCTGTTTCCTGCCATATCTAGCTTAGGCCTACTCGGTTGACGAGAAAAGAGAGAATTTGAAAATTAATTAAATTATCCGATAATAATAATAGTTAATAGAAAATGAAAGTCAAAATGAAAAACCTCGTTCTTGCCCCTCGACCGGCATAACATGACGTCGTGGACTTGTGTACACGAGCTTTTAATTCCCGCCATGGTAATTGCGTCAGCTTAGGTTATTAATATTTACTCACCGGAAAAAGAACAAAAAGCAACTGGTTGATAATAAAACTAGATCTAGAATCTTGTTATTTTATTATTTATTAAATTCTACTCTACATGTTATTCATGCCATTTTATGAAGTAATGAACACCTGCATAAATCAAATGACCATAATAAATATTTTTATTTCAAATTCTAATTTTAAATAATAAATATGCTTAAAATAAAATAATATGATAGTAATAGTTATGATAGTTTATAAATACAAATACATTTTACACTCAATTCACATTATATTGAGTCAACAGTGTGGCAGCTGAGGTTCATACATTATATTAGTGCCCTTTTTTTTTTACATTACATTTTTTTTCATCTTGAAAACATGACGTATGTGATTTTTTAAAAAAAATAAAATCTCCAAACATTGTCACTCGCGTGATTGCTTGCTTACGTTTACTATCCTGTGGATGTAAAATCCCACCACGGTCGCAGGGTCACCCTGAGTTCAGCAGGCCTATAGTACACGTCATAGAATGAACACGCGTACCTGAGATCGTCGGTGTCTTCACTTCTCTCCCCCCCCCCCCCCCCTTTCTTCAAGCAAATTCAAAAACAGACCTACTTCGCTACTTCTGGTCATTTATTTTTTTTAAACTCACATAGGCTTTAAAAATATACACTTAGATCTACGATCACACATGCTAGATAGCTGTAAAAACAATTATTTACTAAAGAGTAGTTTGATTTAGCTAGATCTAGGACTATCGTCATGATACCTATTTTTTTTTTTAGATTGCGTGTTACCTGGGGTAAAGATTAAACGTACCGTGAAGCGAACCGCTCAAATGCGGCCTAAACTAATTAATACGCTTTTAACGAGCATTGTTAGAAATACTATACAACATTTGATACAAATTATAATTATATAGACGGTGACAAGGTTAACCACCGGTCACGAATGCAGCAACTGTTGGCCCACAGTGAAGAATAAAAAATCAATATACTAATAAAATTACTAATACAATAATAATGTCCATAATTTTACTTTTTCCGCACATGCTACAATTGAATTATAATTAAAATACTAGACTTAACAGTTCATTCCGTAAAACACAAAAACTAGTTGTTTATGAATAAGATTTTGGAAACCAGAAACAATAATACTGTAAATATACATGGTAAATATCTCAATTAAATATTAATCTAGCCTTATACGAGTCGTTTTCCCCGTTATACGGCCGTTTTTGGCGGCGGTTCAGTTTTTACGGAGAGTGCTCCAATAGAAATCCTCTCATTATTTACAACCACAATTCTCTCTATTTTTTCTGGCATTCTAAGGCATATTATCCATTTTATTAGCATTTTGCATTAAAATAATGATGAGAATTTGCGATATAAACAGTAAATGTAAAAACCGTCAGAAAACGACGCGTCAGAGGGTCAGAGGTCAATCCTGCCATCTAAGCAACGAGCCAGACTACTCATTAGGCCTACTCATTATATTAATTATAATTTATTAGTCATTAGGCCTGGCCTAAAAAAATAAATTAATATAATATAAATTTTTGCCAAAAATTTTTTGGAAATCTAAGTATAGTATAGAGATCTAGATCTAGAATGTAGTAAAATAGCTTGAATTAATTATTGAATTTTAAACGAAGTGACTACGCGTCTCACAGAGCGTGGCCCGTAACGAAGTGACTACGCATCTCGCAGGTCGGATTTGTCATCTTGTCATTGAAAATGCTTACTGTTTCCTTCTCCATCACATCCGGTGTGGTTGAGTCAACAGTGTGCCAGCTGTAGACTGTAGTTCATTGACCTGGAGCTCCGAGTTCGAACCTGGGGTTAACACGACCGGTGTCATAATTACATTTTATTTTTTTCATATTGAAATATGATGTGTGATTCTTTTTTTTTAATAAAATTTCCAAACATCGTCACTGGTGTGATTGCTTGCTTGCCTTACGCCTTACGTTTACTATCCTGTGAGTGGAAAATCCCACCATGGCCCACTGTCAGAGAGGTTATAGTTATTGTGAGTTCAGCAGGACTAATGCATACGTCATAGAATGAACACAGGTTCACAAGATCATCTGTGTCTTAACTTCTCTCTTCCTCTCCACACCCCCCCCCCCCCCCTCAAGCAAACTTGAAATTTTTTTAAAGTTCATATAAGATATATAATATAGACTTAGATCTACTATCACGTATGCTAGATAGCTGTTAGACTAAAGGACAGTTTGATTTAGTTAGATTGCTGCTAGATCTAGGACTATAAATTATAATCTGACCCACTACTGACACTGTACTTATGTTTTTTACAAGTACTAAACTAGATCTAGATTCTTAGGTTTGAAATAATATAAATACACTAAAACTCGTTCTAGATCTAGACTATGTCAACATTTAATTGCTACCATACAAAAAAAGAAAAATTGGGAGTCCTGATACCTTTTTTTTAGATCGCGTGCCACCTAGGGTAAAGATTTAGCGTAACACTGAGCAAACCGCGCAAAGGGGGCCTTACATGTAATGCGGAGCGAACCACGCAAATCCAGCCAATTTTAAAATAAAATATTCTGTTACTTCTCATAAACTCATAAATCATGACAAGCCATACCTTTTAACTACAAATCATGAGAGACCACATTTGATAGACGCGAGCGAGAATGTATTTAAGAGGCCCATTAATTTATTTAAAAATCATGCACGGCATAGTTATAATATATACCATTTGGTTATAAAAATCCTGTCGGTCTGGTTTTTTTCTGACTTGACTAAAGATTGGATGTATTTGATGTTTTTAATATTTTCGGTAACTAAATAAAATTTAAAAAAAAAAAAAAACAATTTGGTTTTCACATGTAATGGCGACAGAAACAATGGTATCCTGCTATTCCAGGGGTCGGCAACCTGCGGCTCGCGAGCCGCATGCGGCTCTTTTGATATCAAGATGCGGCTCTCCAGCTCCTTGAAAAAATACTAATAATCTTAATAAAAAAATAAAATATTTGGAACAAAAAAAATGTTTGTGGCTCTTTAAAACCAGGGAAATTTTGAAAATTGTAACTTTTGGCTCTTCCGCTTCAAAAGGTTGCCGACCCCTGTGCTATTCGATAGGCTGCCATAAATCTTATTGTAATTGTACACATTGTAAGCGAAAAAAATGGAAAACTAGGTCATTGGGTTCAAATTTGCGTTGTTATTTAAAAACAAAGTTTTGTAAACAGTTATCGATCACTGAGTTACTGTACAGCCAATCAATATTTGTCTTACGAAAGTGAAACATCCGTTTATAACTTAGGCTTGATGAAAATAAATAAAAATGTAACCTTAAACGCAACAAATATTTTCAAGTTCTCTGGATTTGCAACATTTATAGCATTTATTCTTAAATAATAAAATTTCTAAATTAATTTTAGGCTTAAGTACTTATTTTTAAAATTATTTTTACGGTCTAAATCTAAAAAAAGCACGTTTTTATTCCATGTCAACAACATGATGGAAGGATTCTCGTCAACTCGCTCGCATCCATTATCTAGCTTACTCAGATGCCAAGAAAAAAAAAGGATTTAAAAATTATCCAAAATGTAAACATGAAAGCCAAAAACCACATTTTGCCTCCCAGCTGGCATGCAGGACGACGTGAACTTGTGTACACAAGTTTTAAAATGTTGCCATGGTAATTGTGTCAACAGAGGATATTTTAGTCACCGGAAAAAAACAAAACCAACTTGTTAATAATAAACCTAGATCTAGCTATTTATTAAATTGGTAAAGGAAAATATACTTTACAAATTCTACTCTAGATGTTATTCATACCATTTTATAAATATTGAACACTTGCATAAATCATACTATCATAAGACCATAAAAAATATTTTTATTTGAAATTCTAATTTTAAATATGGGAAGACAATATTCATGCTTAAAATAATATGTTAGTTATGATAGTCGATAAAAACATACATTTTACACTCAATTCACATTATAATGAGTCAACAGTGTGGCAGCTGAAGTTGATAGACGGTATTAGTGTCTTTTTTACATTTAATTTTTTTTTCATATTGAAAACATGACGTATGTGATTTTTTTTTAAAATAAAATCTCCAAACATCGTCACTCGCGTGAATGCTTGCTTACGTTTACTATCCCGTGTGTGATAAATCACACCACGGTCGGCGGGGTCACTGTGAGTTTAGCAGGCCTATTCAGTACACATCATAGAATGAACACAAGTTCGCTAGATCGTCAGTGTCTTCACTTTTATAGATAGCATGCTACCTAGGGTAAAGGTAGCCTAAACGAATTATTACATTTTTTAATGATAACTGAGTAGAGCCGAATGGATACAAAGCTAAGACTAATTTAAAAAAACTCAATTTAATTTTTTGTGTCTACACAAAAGGCACACGTTAATTTTAAACGCTAAAAAGATAAAGCAAATGTAGTTTAATGTAGTGAGGTAAAGTAATTTAAATATTCAATTTCAACTTGAAGTAGATCTATCTTGATAAAATCTTTCACGAAAAAAAAACGATACAAACTCTCCATCCTGTACTTATAAATTAATTTAGATAAAACAATTTTAAAAAAACAAAAGAAATTAATTTATAGTATTGTATGGGCCTAGGGGTGGCGGATAATGGTAGTAAAAATAAAAGATCGAACTTTATATTTTTGTGTTTTATGACAATATCTGTACATAATTAACATACCTTGGTTTTTAAATTGACCGAGGTAAGTATACCATGTTACAAAAACTGCAATCTTAACTATTCATATTTTTACTTTAAAAAATGATAAAAACGATCATCAATGAGGAAAGCACAATGCATTCTATTATTAGATATGACGTGACATGACTAATAAATCTAGCCAAATGATTAGTTTTTGTCGCTGCACACATTTTCCCGCACTCTGTTTTCAGCCAAAAGTTTTTATAAAATGGCTTTATGGGAGGGGGGGGGGGGTTGATATTTCTGACATCAGAACCACAAGTACGGACGTGATAATTATTCCCAGACGTTGTCAGCTAAGACTCTGAACCGTTACACATGACCTAGTTCTGCCTTTTTTGCTTACAATAAAATTTATGCTAGCCTATTAAATAGCAGGATGTCATTGGTTATGTTGGTTTGTTTTTTAATTTTTATTTAGTTACCGAAAATATTAAAAACATTAAATACATCTAATCTTTAGTAAAGTCCAAAACAACCAAACAGACAAGATTTTATCACCATATATTTTTAACTACGGCGTGTATGATTTTAAAAATATTTAATGGGCCTCTCAAATACCTTTGAGACTTTACTCGCTCGGGTCCATTTGACCCTGTAGTTGTTTTTTTCAAAGCGATCTTAGTTTTACTTTTAGGTAAAAAGTAAGCGTAAACGGTAAACGAAGTGACTACTCGAAAAAAGATTTTTCGGCAAAAGATACGAAACTCAGCAGTTCTGCGCATGCACGATGACCTTAATAGCCGCACTATGGTTAGGGTTAGGATTCTGCGGTTTGTTTGTAAACACACGCATGCGCAGTACCATCGAAAACATCGCAGCGAGACGCAAAATGGCAAGGGGGTAAAATGTCAGTCATACCTGCGGAATTACAGGTAAAATAGTATCTATGTTTGTTAATCGTGTTATCATTTTGTTATGTCTTAATCATTGCTCCCTTGTCATAGGACATATGATCACCCGCTCACATTTTCCTGTCAGCGGGAGAAAAATGTCATCCCGGTCGAGGGGTCACTGTAAGTTAAGATTTCATTTCATGATTACACTTATAGCATACATCATATTATAAACATGGCTGATTCTAGACCAAAAAAGATGCACATAGCTCTACATTCTACAATTACCTGGTTTTTCTCGTCATCTACATGTTCACTGTTTAGGCCTATGTTCTATCTTAATCTAATGGGACAGGGATTAACACGATAAATACTTAAATAGTAGATTTAAATGGATTATTAAAATAGATTCTAAAAACATATTTGATACTTAACTGATAGACTAGAACTCTTTGCTAGTTATACTTAATAATATTATGAACCCTCAACCACTGACGACCCGCGCGCAGCGTAACTGCTTGACCACACTGTACAGATAGTTTTGTCAGAAGAATAAAGCTGAGTAATTGATCCCATTGCGCAGCTATAAAAAAATTAATTGCGCATCCAATAATAGTTATTTAATTTGAGCCCATTGCGCAGACATTTAGGTCATTGCATTTTGCATCTTTTGTCGGCCAGATAGCACTTGGGGGGAGAAATCTTATTCACAGTAGTCACTTCATACAAACATTGCTAGCTGAATTAGTGATGGTGTCACTTTATTAGTTTTTTCCTTAACTCCATAATCAGTAATATGAAAAACGCTACTTCATAATAAAGTGAATAACCCAATAAAACAAATAGGCCTAAGGCTCTTAAACTGCATTGATCTCCCAAAGAAGCTTGTGAATATGATGTATAGAAGCAGTGCTTGGAGCAGTGACAATGTAAATTTTTCATGGCTGCCTGTATATTGTTTTGTTTTATCGATTGTTTTTTTTTTTGCATTTATTTTATTTATTAGGATTCAATTACTATATAAATCTATGTCATTCTTTAGTTTTTATTAGGCCTATTTACTGATAACTCTAGGAAACATATCTTTTAAATTTTCTTAGTACAAAAATAATCTATGTTAAAATGATAGTAAAAATGATGTCTGCAGGCTAGTAATAGAATATTTTTGTAGAATTTTCAGGTACACATATATATATATATATATATTTAGAGCTTAGTATTGATGTAAGGACCAGTAGCAAGCAAAATTGAGTGGGCTGTCCATTTTGTAACACAGAGACTGACATAAAACTGAATAGAAAACCTGTAATTTTTCTTCATAAACCAACAAGTTGCAATTTTTTTTAGATTTGGATGGCATGTCATCCATTTTTCTCTAGTCTTGCCTTGAAATAATAAGATTTTGCAAGACTAGCAGTTTCCACATTAATCCCAGAGAGGAACCCTTTCATTAATGGACCACATGGGAAAAACTGAAAGCTTAAAGCTCAATGCATATTTCCATGTAATCGGGCCAAACTTATTTTATCTCATCGTTTCCAAAATAATTTTAGTTTTATATTTGCAGGCATCAGGAAATAAAGTTAGCAGACAGTCGGTTTTGTGTGGGAGCCAGAACATTGTCATAAATGGAAAGGTATTCCACAAAAATTAAACTAAAATCTACATTTAAATTTAATGATAAATTATTCGCCTAAAATGTACCTTAAAATTTAATGGTAAAATTACATTTTTTAATGTCTTTTATCAGCATGTTTTCATTGAATTTTTTAATGATTAATTCTATTACATTTTTTATAGACTATTGTAATGACTGGATGTGTCATTAGAGGAGACTTGGCTAATGTGAGAATAGGGAGACATTGTATTATCAGTAAAAATGCTGTAATACGACCAGCTTTTAAAAAATTTTCAAAAGGGTATTTGAGTTAACACTACTTTTAAAAATATGTTTAATATATAATGAATAACTTACTACCAACAGCGTAGTTTACATAAGCATATTGTGCATAATTAACATTTTGCACATGGTTGAAAACTATTATGATAACAAAATAGTGAAAATTTAAACTATTGCTAGACTACAAAAAGCACAACAATTTAGCATATTTTGTTTCAATAGTTAATAGATTCACAATTGTTTGTTTTGATTTAATGGTTTTTATTTTCTTAGTGTGGCATTTTTTCCTCTTCATATTGGTGACCATGTATTAATTGAAGAGGATTCTATAGTCAATGCTGCTCAAGTAGGATCATTTGTACACATAGGAAAAAACTGTGTCATTGTAAGTCATTTTTCAAAAATAATTTTGTTTCTGCTGTCTATAACATTTTGTGGATTCTTTGACACTGAGGCAGTAACATCACAAGATGGGTAAAGTAGAGTGTGGACTGGACATGGGAGACCATCTACAGCCCTATTGTACTGAAAGCTATAACTTAAAAGTGCCTTCTTCCCTCCCCCCTCAGGAAAAATATCACTGATTTTGATGCATTAAGTTTGCTTCTGGTTAAAGTTTTATTTAGTGTTGTTTATGAAAATATTTAATACAAGATAAATGGCCTATTGAGGGAGAGATACAACGGGTGCTAGGTTGATAGTGTTGTCTTTTTCTCAAAATCGAAACGAAAAACAAAATCACCACCTTAACTTCAAAGTTAACCGGAAACAAAAATTGAAAAACGGTTTTCTGACAAGAATAGGCATTTTAACCCGATTTAAGCTTGATCTACGCGTAGATACTGCATATTGATACAAAACATAGTAAAAGTCATATCCCTAAACCTTGCTCCTCATCTCAAGTTTCATTTAGGTGGGGGGGGGGGGGGGGGGGGGTCTCTACATCCCCTCCCCCACATACACCCTACTAACTAAAGGTAGAGCCTAGTTCTAAAATATAGACCTGTTTCCTACTTTTGGCCGATAAATTTCACTCACGCAGGCAGTGTTCGTTTCAGGCTTTTTTTTTTCAGGCACTTGAATTTTTGCAGGGACAAAATAAATTATATTAAGTTTTTTTTTGGGGGGGGGGGGGGGGGGGGGGTTGCCCCTACCCGAAGAGATGCATGAAAGAAACTCTTTACACAATCCACTTTTAAGATTAGACAACATTGGCTTTTTAATTCAATGTTTACTCGGGAATCAATGACGCCATATTAGTGTGTGTACTTTCCCCGGCTTAAGAAAATTTCCTACTCTATTTTCCATGTGATGTCACCTTTCATTTTTCGAATTACTATGCATGTTTTTACTCTGCTTGTGTTTTCTCTATAATAAAAGCATTCTTGACAGATAGATAGATAGATACACAGACAGACAGTGAAACTATTATTATAGATTACCAATTTACCAATCTAAATCTCCTTAAATTGTCCTTTTATTTTAGCTTACAAATCATGATTTTGTATGGCTAAAAAATTTGGAAGTTTTAAATTAATTAAACCTAAATTTACTTTCCTTGAACTACTAATGAAGGGTCGAAGATCACTACTCAAAGATTGCTGTGCAATAGCAGATAACACAGTTGTACCTCCTGAAACAGTTGTTCCACCTTTCACACTCTACTCCGGATCACCAGGTTTGTTTTAAATATGTAGTTAGTATAGTTCTTACTAAATGGTTGAGCCCATGAAGATTATTGTTGTTAAACCAAAAAGTGTACGAGTTCAAACTGTCAGGCAGATGATGCTCAATAGCTGAGGACAGCAACCCATCTAAGTGAAAAAAACTCCACAGTTAAAATCAAGAGTCAATGGGCCATATAGAGCATACTGGTAACATGTTGACATGTAATTATGTGTTTTAGGAAATCCCTACCACTTCAGTTTCTAGATTACAAGATTCAGCCAATAAACAGTTTCAGGTAGAATACGTTAATGATAAAAAACATCCCGGTGTAAAGTAACATAATTCCACATAGAAGATTAATGATAGTCATATCCTGTTTTGTGTTTAGACTAGTAAGTCATTGTATCAAAAGTTTGTGTTTAAAAAATTCTGGCACCAGTCTAAAAATAGAATCAAAATACATACAGTCTGTCAGTGTGTGGTATAATCAGTAGTTTTTTTAGAAGCCCTTGTAGAAAATACTTAAGGGCATGGGCGGGTGTGCTTTTCGTCATAAATCCACTAAATCATCGTTTTCCCACTTTTACTTGATCCATACAGAATAACCATCGTTGAATCTAAAAATGACATTGTTATGACCCTAAAAACAGTATTTATTTATGAAAAACCGGGTTCAATGTAGTGTGTACAGTGTCTTTTGTTTAATTTTTTGGTAAAAATAGCCATTTTTCGACCTAGAAAAGTACTATTAGGCTTCGCGGAAACCTAATGTGTTTCATATCAATGGAAAGGCCGTGACCTCCTTTCTTTATTTGTTCTAAAATTAAATGACCAATCAAAATACCTATTTTAATGTGATTATTTTTCTACGTCATAAAGTTGTTTATTTTACTCTGTCAAGTTTTTCCGGTATGCAAATTTTTGACCTCAATTTTTTCATTGGCATACAACTGCGGAAGCTAGTTAGTGATTGGTCGTTTCGCTTCGGAAGTAAACATTCCCTTAGTTTCAGCGCGTTGCTAAGTTTGATCTAGAATCTAGTTTTGTTTCTCTAAGCTTCTGTGAAATACTTACATTATTTTAACATATAATTATTTCAATTAAATATACTATTAACAGTTTAGATTAGTTTGTGTGAATTATCATAAGCAGTGAGACGATTTAATTTGTTTGTCTTTCGATAATGGGTAGAACAAAACACTCGCTAAAAATAGATACACACATCTAACTAATTTACTAAAGCTAGGGCACGTCCGAATGCAACTGATTGCAGCTACCTGTACTCAATCTAGCACTATTCAGACAAGCACTGGTGCAGATGTAATATGCACATTTTCTAAAAAACTGCGGCAATGTAAGACACAGTTTTTGCAGACAGAAGAAAGCACTGTTACATCTAGTACTGGTAGTGCTAATTGTAAACCACAGCCATGCAGAATTATTGTCGACTGTGATTTGCTTCTTGATGTTATCAATACATTTCCTCGCCCACTGTGATGTAGTGGCTACTATTGATGAAAAAAAATTCATAACAAACGTTTTAATAACAAGCTTTTATGTAATGATGCACTAAAAAGTAGAAAATAAATTATACACTACTATTTAAATTACTATAAAGAAAAGCGTGGGTCACTTTAGTACTTTAATACCTATTGGATACCTTTACTAATATTTGAGAAGAGACCCACGCTTTTCTTTATAGTAATTTAAAAAGTAGTGTATAATTTATTTTCTACTTTTTAGTGCATAATTACATAAAAGCTTGTTATTAAAACGCTTTTTATGAATTTTTTTTTCAGTACTTTACATGTTTTATTTACTATAGTGTTACATGACTAAAAACCATTGCGCGTCTATTGAACGTGATGCCGCAGCTATTAAACCTGATGGCGCAGCTATTGAAAGTGATGACGCGTGTGGTGTGGTTGGATAGACATTCCTACTAATTCGGTCCAAATTTTAATTTATTCACAAAAAATTAATTAGGCATCCAATTAAGTCAAATTTAGTTTCAGATTGCATTGTCTTCATGTCTTGACCCACGTGCCAACTGTGAATCGTATCGGTCAAGTAGAACTGTCAGAATTTTCACTCCTACATTTCGATCTAGACTGTCGACTTAGTGAGTTAAATAAAAGCTTGTAAAAAGTGTAAAGGGTTTGCTTCAAGCATGGTGTGGCAGTAATAAAAATGTTGTAAACCGTAAGTATACAACTGCAAAAGAATCCAGAACAAGGCCTTTCACAATAAACAAAGACATCGTCTTATCATAATTGGCTTTAGACATGAGACCATGCAAAATATACTGCTGTTTCTGCTATAGCATAATTCAATTTTGGGCCAGGCATGCTATGGCATTGCTGTCAAAAGAAGGAAACCATAGTCGAAGACCCAGTGAAGGACGCCAAAAAAGACGCCATGACAACATCTTTACTGCAGCTCTAGGTAAAACAAAGAGCGCCAGAAAAAAAGAAAACTAACAGCTGAACAAGCTCAGAAGGAATATATTCAGCAGCACCATACTTCAGGCTATAAATGTGGTCGATTTTAGTGACACACAGCAATAAATTTTCATTTTTTGCAACTTTTTGTTAGTTTTTTGCGTTTTTCTCAGTTTGATGTTTTTTTGTACAATTGTTGAAATAACTTTGTTAATAATTATCATAACTGAACTAAATTTGCTCCAGTTACTCTTTATATATGTTCAAATAAAACTGATAGAACACTTTTGGAATTTTTGTAAAAAAAAAAAAATTTGTTGTTAAAATAGTGAAAAAATTGGACGAAATAATGAAATTTTTACAGTGATGTTTGAAAAAAAAAGTAAAAAAAAAAACTATTTTCTTTTTTGAAAATGTAATCCATCAGAAGTCTTAAACACATGTGTCTGCAGACTATATTAAGTTTTCATGAAATTTGTACAAACCATTTTAAAGTTATTTCTATTTAAAAATCGTCAATAAAATCCAATATGGCCGCCGTCACCATGACAACGGAAGATTTAAAAAATTAAAAAAATATATTTTTATGCTTAACTCTTTGAGTTATAACTATTAGCCAAGTATTACATCTGTAGACTCGGAAATAAGGAAGTTGGTACTCATCACCCGCCCATGCCCTTAATCAAAACATGCTTAATAACCCATGTTTTGGTGTTGAATGTGTGTATACATCATATCCACCTCAGTGCCTGCTGAGGTTTTACTAGGGCAATGCAAAAAATATCTTTAAAAATTGAGTATATTACCTTTGACCAGATCTCAGATCAGTCATTACATGCTACTTCTGAGTGCTTAACTGCTAAATGTATATGTTTTAAATTTCTAGTCAATTTCTATTATTTGTTGTAAAGTGCATTAGTCATAGTGATTTACGAATATTTTTGTTTTTTTTGTATTCAGGGAAAATGACAGTTGATCTACCTGACTGTACACAGGATTTAATGATAGACATTACAGTCAATTACTACCAACACTTCAAGCCCCATGGGAAAGCAAAATGAAAACATTAATTTATTAACATCTATCAATTTCTCCTATTTATGTATTTTATGTTTAATGCTGACCTAGATCATTATTTATCCTGGTTTAAACTATGCTAGGTTGCTTTACAATTTATTATTTCTTCCAAAATAAAATGTAAAAATTCAGCTAAGATATTGTTCTTATAGCTTTTTAGCCATATAATTTACGAGGTTTCATTTATTTGTATGGTAACTGAATTTTTGCTCAGTTCATCTCTAGGGTGTCCTTTTATAAACCAGATTCATCAGAAGTAGGTTTGTCACATTGTGTACAGAGACACTCAGTGGTAGATACTGAGAGGTTGTGGTTACAAGGTTTTTACAAGGCTTAGTTTTGTTCCTATCCTCTTCTGGTTAATGCTATTGTGCTGTGAAAATAAATTGTCTGAAATAAAAATTAGTGACATAGCCACACAAAAATGTTACTTGCATTGCTTTTGATGAAAACTTGTTGAAGGTGATGAGGTTAGCGTTATTGGGTCAGTAAAGGTCATGGTTGCTAAACCAAAAAGTCCAGTGTTTGAGCCCCCTGGCTCAATAGCTGGGAACTGAACCATCAAGCAGCTGCTGCTTTGTAGTTTGTTCAGGGATGGACAAAGCAAATCCAAAACAGAAATACAGGTTGAAATCAGAGTCAGCCTACATTGAGCACAAAGTGACAGGCATTACATGTGTTGCAGGAAAACCCATCCAACATTAAGAAAAAGTAGGCAGTTAGCTTTAATAGCTTACCTTTTGCAAGATGGCAGTTATCAGGCTTATGGCTTAAATGATCCCACACTGATACCTGATTAGAAATCTCATACTGATTAACCAACATCACATTATTTTGAAGGAAGGTGGTGACAATTTTTTTTACTAACAATTTCAATTTTGTGGTAACTCAAAAGAAAGTACTATAATCATTTACTCCTTTAATGTTTGTTTAGTTAAGAATTCAATGGAAAAGACTGATTTGATTTTGAAGCCAAAATTCATGTAACTTTGAGCAGGTGGTAGAAATATTTTGGTGAATGGAAAGATGCACACTAAAAAGTGCTCAAGGGCATTTTTGTTTTTAAAACAAGCATTTTAATTTATAAACATATACAAAGAGTGACAACATGTATACCATAGCTAAATAAAACATACGAGCCGACCCGCGGTGTATCATATGCCGCTATTTAGTTGTTTTTTCTACTTTTCAGTAATTCATAATTTGTGAATTCGACAGTACCAATGCTGCCACTGATTATATTTGCTTTAAAACACTAAACCCCCTCCCCCGTGAAAGCAGCCTCCTCTAAGTTTAAAATCGTTTCAAACTAAATTATCTGCCCCTAATAACCGTCACCAAACCCGGCTCTACGATTGTAAAATGTTAACATTTAGTGTGAACCACAGCTCACCAGACCATGTGAGGGGGGTGGGGGTGGTAGCGATAGGAAGAGAGGGCACTGCAAGGCGCGCTTGCAGCTTGTTTTCTAACGTCTCCCAGAAGAGATATATATAGATTTCCACAAAATCTGACACAATTTAATAATAGTTGAATTAGTTTTGTATTTGCGCATTTTTTACTCGCTTTTTTCTGAGAACTAATTATTTATTCCATGTTACGCTTGACTTGGTACTACTGGTGAAATTGCAATTTTAAAAAATAGAGATTTCTAAATCATGGAAGCACCATTTTGGGCTATAAAACCTTTCAATTATAAATTAATGAGAAAAATGATTTGTGTATCCTTGCCACAACACTTTTTTTACCATAGCTGAAGTAATAATTTTTTAGACAATTTATAAAATATACATTCTGATGATTGTGTTGTTTAGGAGCTTTACTGTCGGCAGCTTTGTCTTTGAAAAACTTTGAAAAGTTTGCAAGATTAACTTTAAGTTAAAGCCACAATCTTACCATTTTTTTTAATCACTCACCCACAGAAATAAAGAAATTACTTTTATTAACTGATAGACTTGATAAATAAATGTAAAAAAAAAAAACGGGATAATAGTTTTGCATTTTTTTTTAATTTCATAAAAATTGTTTAACAAACTAGAAATGCATAAAATGAACTGGACGTAGTCAAGCTGCTTTCAACTCTAAGGGTATTAAGCTATCCATGTCAGTTATTTTTTTCCTGAAAGAATAAAATGTGCAATCAATAAACACATTTGATTTCTTTATGTAAATTTTGTTTCATTTGAACAATAAAACTGCAAACTGATACTGACAGAAATTAAATGTCCAGTTCTATCATTATGTAATGACCAAGCTGTTGTGGAGGACAAAAAGGCTGACTGGACATTTAAAACAAAATTAATAAATAACAAACCGGGAGTGATCTCCCCTAAACTTTCTCGAATATTCTTATATAACACTAGGGGGATGTCAACTCTGGATACAGACATGATTTTTTAATCCATTTTTAATTTCTTAAATAGAATAGAATCTCGTCGAATAAAGAATTTCGCACCAAATAAACGCCAAACAATATGTGTATGATAGTATTAGTACTTTATAAATTTACATGCGTTTTTTAAGAAATCGGAAATAGTGTAAATTACTACTTCCGGTCAACGGAAATTACGTTGAGATTTGCAAAAAATCTCAATTTGTTTTTTTGCACGATTACAATACTTTTGTATACGAGAGAGAAAAAATCCATCTCTTATTATTTAAGTTACAGAAAAAATTTTCAAAGCGTTGCAAAAGTAGTTTTTTTGTGTGTTGCCTACACAGGCCCTTTGACAGGTGAGAATGTAATTTCAGCTACTCGCCATCACCACTTACCACTTTTAAATACAAGAAAGATCATTCTGGAATATTTTGTTTGGTTAATTAAGCAGGAACAAGAAGGAGTTTAAGCTGAGTCAATGGTTCTTAGGGGTGAAAAAAAGATAATGAGTTTTTATAATTTACATGGCATTGCTTAAAATAAATCACGCCTTGTATTTTTATGGGTGCTTTCACTTTCTCTATGTTCAACTTTCTCTTTAAATAAATAGTTTGACATACACTACTTGATATATCAAGTGAGCAACATTTTGCTTCAAAATCTAATGTTTTTTAAAAAAATAGCCAGCAAGTGAATGTGTGTCAATTAAAGACAGACCAGTGAAGAGTGAAGCAGTGATGAAAATGAGTAAAATAAAAAAAATAAAATTGTACTGTAACATTTAGGTCATTGCAGTTCCATTAATTTTAGGAATCAAGTGTAGTATTGACTGTGCATGAGTAAGTGAATTAGTTACCAAAACAGCTAGAATTGGCAATGTAGAATGTAGTGAGTAGGTGAATAAAAGAGCTGGTATATGCCTACACTCCTTTATTCTGTTTGTTTGCAAAATTTTACATTTATAATTAGTTTTTTCTTTCAAAAAGATGTCCACACTGAATTGTGTCCAGCCAGTTCTTCTGATATCAACATTTAGACTGCTGGCCTTTTATTTATTTTGGTTGTTTTGTCCAACTCCTTTTTCACAAACAAAAATTCATTTTAAAAAGCATAAGTCTTACATCCTCCATTTCTTCTTAATAAAATGAATATTTTTGTATGTAGCCTAGTGAAAAAAGCAACACCTTCCTAACATCAACGTAGGAGCATAGTCTTTTAAAAAGATTTATTGACCTCCCAGAAATGTAAACGCAAGCCTAAGAAAAAAGCGGACATTTTTAAGAAGAAGATCATTTACAACCCCCTTTCCACCTTTGTCATAAATAAACCTTTTTCTTCATAATTTTTTTTTTTGGCAAAATAAAGTAGAGAATGGATTATTCCAGGATATTTTTTTGGAAAAAAAGTGGTGGGCAGAACAATTTTCTATAGCAGAAAATGGGATTTCTATACAATGCGGAAAAGTTACATTACTAGTCTTCAAATATGAAATAAGAGTAAAATACACAATTAACCTTGAAACTAGCATACAGTAAATAAAAACCTACCAAGCTTAAGCCACTTAGGTAGCTGAGAAGAAGATGAAAGCATTGCTTCGGTTGCAGTTCTTGAATTTGTAGGTTTACTTTGAATAGAGCTTTTGGATTCGCCTGACTGAACAGTGGTTGAAACATGGGATGATTTTTCCAGAAAGGTATTTGATGATGCGTCTTGTAAAGATGATTTCAAACTGCGATTTTAAAATGATTATGTCTAAAAACAAAAAAGGGGCCCTCTAAGTCGTGCAATTTTTTAAAGCAGGAAGGTAGATGGCAAAAAAACATTATACTGCAAATGTCTAGTGCTAGGCTCCAGGGCTCAAGTATTGATGTCATTTTTTAGTCCACCCAGCTCAGGTTAAGAAAAGTAAAGGTGGCTGAGCATAGAGCTGATGACACTATCCCTTCGTATGTCGAGATAATTAAAAAAAAAAGTGAACTATACTTTATCTGCCCCATTGAATGACAGTAAAGTTAAAAAAGGTAATATACTTTACTTTTTTTACTTTTAATACTACCATAAATACTTAAAAGATTCAAAGTTCTTTCAGCTTAGCAGAATTGGAACAAATATTTTATTTTATTGTACATTATAATTTCATAATCTCATTAAAAAAGCTTACATTCTTGCTACTACTTTCTCTGCTTCTAATCTGGACTTAACCATATCCTTAAGCCCAATTTTGAGATGTTTTCCTAGACAGATAAAAAACATTTGATATTAATATATATTACAATGAATATGTTTCAATGTGTGAATAATTATATACTAGATAAATGGCCCATTGAGGGAGAAATACAACTGGCTGGTTGATAGTGTTGTCTTTTTCTCTAAAAAGAAACCAAAACCACCACAAAAATGTCATTGAAAATGGATTATTATCCATTTTAACCTGATTTAACCTTGACACACACATAGTTACTGCACATTCATAATAAATATAGTCGTAGTCATAACCCTAAACCTTGCACTTAAGCTCAAACCTGACAAAAATCTCATGTAGTGTTTCTTTCAGGCAACTCTGCGGGGGGGGGGGGGGGGGGGGAGGGGGGGGGGGGGGGGAAGGAGCTCAGCCCCTGAAAAACGTCTACCGCCCCCTATAATGAAATAGAATTTATATAGAAAATTTAATTTAGAAATTTAGTCTGTCCACCCACACCCCCTTTTCAAGTCGTCGTCCCCCATCCCTCCAGAGAGAAAAAAGTCTGAAAGAAACACTGGTCGTATTTGTAATTATTAGATCACACAGACCACACGTTTTTTTTTTGGAGGGGGGGGGGGATTTAATTCTTCGGGGGAGGGGGCTAACACTGGTAAAAGTGTATATTTTCTATATAGATTAGAGCTCATTTTATCTTAGGTGGTAACAGGGACGGAACTACTGTGCCCACGCCATTTAGGGGCCCACAGCCGATCATAAATTTAAAAAATTATAGTTAAAACAAATTAATTTTCTTGCATTTTTGACTTAATGGTTGTTTTGTAAAAAAGATTACCGTAGCTGCGATTGGATTATCTTTATTTTA